CAGTCGACACTTTTAGTTGGGTGCACGTAACGAACCCACGTACTCAGCACTGCCGCGGGAGAGAACTGCGAATGTGCGATACGTAACGCATCGATTCCAGAGATGCGCGCGTACGCCCACAAAAAAAAAAAAAAAAAAAAAAAAACGTGGCGTGCATAAACGTGACAAGGCAAAGCGTACGCAGCATGACGCTCTCGCGATATGTCGATTGATATAGGAACCAGATAGCAAAACGGCAGCGACGGCGTCGAACGCAGAGGGCAACAAAGCCGGCCCAAACCGAGTATATTTTCCTTTGAGGGACGACGTTGCACTGCTACCGCACGAGGGCGCTAAAAAGCACCCAAAAAGCTGTTATATTTCTAAATACGTACGTCTAGTTGAACCAAACGTAGTTCGGTACGGTCAATACGGTGAACTAAAAGTGTCGTTGAGCGCTTCGCATGAAGCGTACGCAGCGTATCGTGCCACGTACGTAGGCTCCTTACTTACGCCCTACTAACGGTGTCTAGTATCTGCCCGAACGATGCGTACGCCATCCCCTCGCACGCCCGTTCATGCTCCTTCACCAGGCGGTGTCGATGTGTGTGACGTCGGCAGCGTTCGCAGCCATCCAGTCCGCATGACACATACGATGTTAGGGCCAATTTTATCCATTGGGATTTCGTACGGAACTATGACCGTGACGGCAAAAATGCTACTGGGGTGTCCATGTAATTGCTATCCAAGAAGACGCAGGTGCCTCAACAAGTTAAATGACGTCCTAAGGCGTATAAGATTGTATTTTGGCCATTTATTGGGGAACATTCGCAGCAAGAGAAAATAAGCGCATTCTGCAGCTTCACAATTTATAGCATTATGAGGTTATTAGGAGCTGTGGCACGTCACTACGGCACGTCATTACAACCTTAAGAGGCCAATTACAAGACAGCACTAAGTAGGCGTATGCGAAGCAAGTTTAACAAATCCTGCACTGTCATTGTGCTATGCGTAAAAAAAAAAAACGCCTCATATAGAGCGTCTCTGGCCCTTTTCGCTACCTAAGTAAACGTTTTCCCGTTTACATGACGGAAGAAATGCACTCACCTAATTTGGTGTTCCACAATTGAACGAATTTCACAGTTCTTTAATAAATATATACTTTGGTGAGAACGTTCTTACGTCTAAAGGTGTTTACGTTATGCGTATTTCAGATTTAATCGAACGGTGCTCCCATCGCTCGCCTTACAAAAACTTCGTATATCAGCGTTATGCATGTACCATACACGCTTTGAGAGGAAGCACACTTCTCTCGTGATTCCGGTCCCAAGCTAAAGCTGTGACAAAAAGATGAAATCAGTGTTCAGACAAAACAAAGTAAACCTTTATTTCTCGATCAGGTTCAAGTGCTAGTATAGTAGACTGAAAAAAATGTATAGTGTTATGAAACTAAAACAACTCGAAAAAAAAAAGAAATTTCCTGGCGCAGAACACTGCTTTAGCCCAGTGCTGGAAATCACACATCGACAACAGGCTTCTTGTCACGGTGGTTCGCATGCTAACATGAGTTACGCGATCGCGTGAGACGAAAGTGCTTGCTAACAACCAGTTCATTCTTGCTGAAGGGGCACATAACTAGACTTCCTAAATGATATCATTATGACATGTTGAATGACTGGACCCACAGGCACACTTTTGTTAAAATAAAAGAAAGAGTTTATGAGGGGTCCAAACAACTTCCGGAACCGCGTCAAAATTTGCGAGATGACCGGGCTTTCACAATTGAGATCCGTATGGTGGGAGGTCGTTTTCTAAAATGAGGTCCAACTAGAAGCGGTTCAAAGAGCGTTTATATCGAAGGTCCTCTTCCACAAGCTGGCAAAAGCGACCTCTCTTCGTCTGGGGCAGCCCACGTACGTGGCCTGGTGAGGCCCGAAGCAATTGGCGCACATGGGAGTACTTCGCTCACATTCCTCGTCGCAGTAGCGGGCGCCGCAGTTCTTGCACCGACTCACTGACACGCAGGCACGCGAAGTGTGGCCGAACCGTAGGCACTTGAAGCACTGCAGCGGCGCTTCGATGTATTCCTCCACGATGAACTTTTCGTTGTCCAGCTCCAGCGACTTGGGCAGCGTGGCGTCCGGTTTGAACGTGAGTACGACGCTGCTGCGCGGGAACTCCTCATACGTGCCGTCGTGCATTCGCTTGACTGTAAGCTGCCGCCTCGCGCTTAGCACGCCCACGTCTGCGAAGAGCTCGGCCAGCTTTTCGTTGGTGTAGTGGTAAGGGACGCCCCGAATCTTGGCTTCGTGTCGCAGGTACATGCTGGGAATGACCGACTCCACTTCGGCCCCGCCGAGTCTCCTCAGATTGAGGAGCTTGACAGCGTCCGCTGCCGTGGCCACGTTGACGCAGAGAAAGCCCGCGCGGTTGATCTTCTGGTTGACGACGTTGTCACCGACGATCTCTTCTAGCTCGCGTGCCACCTGACTTCCGCGAATGTTCCAGAAGGTGCGGGTCGTGCTTATGGCCTTGAAGACGACCGGTATGCCGAAGACCTGACCTTCGTTACCGCGCCCGGACAGGCACACGCCGTCGTTGTTGTTCTCCACGTCAGAGTCGTCGTCTTCGTACTTGCCGTCAGAACTGCTGTAAGTGCGGCGCCTTTTGGAGGAACGTCGTCGGTACGAGTCGTCTTTCGCCCTCGAACTCCGCTCGGACGAGTGTCCGGACCTTTCGTCCGAGCTGTCGTCATGCCTCCTACTCGTCGCAGGTTCGATCTTTTCCATGGACTTTGCGTCGTCTCCACGCACGGATTCAACTTCAGCCGCCTTCTCAGTAGAAGCTCCTGACATTCCATTAGGATCTATCTCTCTGTCATTACCCTGCTTGGAAGACCCTGCGACTGCGGTCTCGGGAGTAGATGATGACACTTCTTGGTCGTATAAAGCAGTTTTATTCCCTGCACTTAATTTGATGTCACTGGCCTTATCTGGGGTCAACGTATTTTTACTTTTTCCGCTGATCTCTTCGACAGTTGGTGGCCGCGGCCCATAGAACATGTCTTGGACTTCTGTTAGTGAACCCTCTGCCTTCGGCTCCTTAGCCTTCTGTTTTTTTGCTAAAAGATCCAGGCTTTGCGACTTCTCTGCGTCTTTAAGTTCGGTATCCTGTTCTTTCATTGAAGCTTCTTGCCTTTTCAATGCGATTTCACGCATCATGAAGCACACCGGTTTTTTGGGGTAGGCCTCATCTTCAAGAACCTTTGTTTCACCAGCTGACGAGGCATCTGCTTTACTCGTCGGTTCTGGCCGCCGTTTTTCTGTGTCAACATTCTGCTTTATACCCTGAATGGCTTGCTTACCATGCGAAGCTTTTTGAGGGACGTCATCTTTTGCCACGCCTCGGTCGACATCATGCGTCTTAGCCAGCTGCGCTGTACCTCCGCTATTGACTTTTGCATCCTGTTTCTCACGTGTACCGCCGTCTTCATTAGCATGAACCATTTCAACTTCTGAGCTGTACTTTTCAATGTTTGAGGTGGATAACTTAGAAACCGATTTACATGCTGCGTCAATTGTATGGCTTCCGTCACCTCCTCCGGGTCGATTTTGTACTGGGTCGCACCCCGGTGTTTGTCCACCTTTGTCGTCCCCTGGCTGTTCTCCCTGTGGAGGCATGCCTCTCTCGCCTATTTTCTGCTGATTACCAGAAGGAAGTTGGAGCTGCCCCTGACTGGCGGAAGTAGGTTGTGCTGAGGAAAGTTGGAGCTGCCCCTGACTGGCAGAATTAGGGTGTGCTTGACCGCGAAGGGGCAGGGGGCTAGCTGGAGGTTCTTGAACCTTCGTTGCAACTGGGCGTTGAGGCGTAGTGAAGTAGCTCGGAGTTGGAGTAGATGGCACTGTTGCTGGTACGCTGGCAGAGAGCTGATTTGCTGCTGTTTTGAGGATAGGGGAAGATACTGAAGTAGGGTGCTTTGTCTCAAGTGAAGTGACTTGCCGCTGTTGAAAGTCGTAGCTGCCAGAAGGACTTGCATTTGATAATTGTTGAGGGGCCGTCATGTAGCCTTCTTGCGCCAAAGGAAACAGGCATGTAAGTCATTGGGAAGAACTGCTGCGGGTAGGTGGTAGTTATTGGGGGGCATACTTCGGTCATTCCGGGCGCACTGAAGCTACCGGGTGTCGGGCTGACAGTGGGTGCTTGCACTAGCTGAGAGGTCGGGAAGAATGTTTGTGATGTGAGCTGTGAAGGCGGCAAAGGGGGCGCCGGAATTGGTTTTTGGGCTGAGGCCGTAGAAGAAATGCTTGCGGTAAGCTGCTGAGATGAGGGTAGAGTAGTAGGGCCCTTAGACTGCGTGGGGTTGGATGATCCTGGAAGTACGAGACGATGTTGTTTATCTGAACAACTCGATAAGTGTTTCTCGTTGCTGCTTTGGGTGCTCACTTGACTTTGATTTGAACCGATGGTTAGGAGCTCGTGGTCCTTTTTCTGAAGGATTTGGACGCAATACTTGGCTTGCTAGTTGTTCCAATTTGCCTTTCGGAAGCGGAAAGCTGATGGGACGCTGTCCTTTGCGGTCTTCGATACCACTATGTCGTTCTTCTGCAGGACTATGTGACGCTGTCGATGTGGCAGGGGAATCATCTCTGCTTTCAGGTACTGAAGGGGACTTCTGTATTGCACGTTCAGGTGCTATTTGTGAAACGCCACTCACAGATGCAGTTACCGTGGGCCGTAGCTGCTGTTCGGTTTTAACAGGTGTATGAGGTGCGTTTTGTAGTGTTTCTGAAACGCTGGTTGCACTGGCGGTAACTGTAGGACGCTGCCTCAATAGGCCAGCTTGAGCACCTGGTATCTGTGCACTTTGGGTTGTCTGTGAGACGCTGCTTGTGCATGGAGTTAATGGAGGACGCTGGCGCTGTTCCTGTTTAACAGGTGGGTAGTTTGTGTTTTGTGGGACTTGCGAGATGTCACTTGCACATGTAGGAACTGCCTGTTGCCGTTGTTGGTCAGCTGTAGCAGGCAGAATGGATCCACGTTGCGGTGCTTGTGAGACGCTGCCTATGCATGGAGCAGCCGGAGGAGGCTGGCGGTCTTGATCGGCTGTAACTGGCGGAGTGTCTTTAGATAAGGGTAGTTGTGGTGTGCTGGTTACGGTCGGAGCCACTGGAGTTCGCAACTGGCACTGGTCCGCTGAAGTAGGCTGCATTGGCGGAACATCCAGCTTTTGTGAAATGCCCTTTCTTGGTTGAGGACCTGCTGAAAGCTGCCGCACTTCTCCGGTTGAACCAGGAAGAGGCCCAGCTTTTTCAGTTTTACACGTATCTACAATTACCAGCCGCTGTCCCGGCGGTCCCCTAGCGCTCGGTGGGCCCTCACCCTGTGAAGCGGCCACTGGCATCTGGGAACATTGTTGCGAGACATCGACGCTTGAGGATGGTCGCCCTGAAATTGCTGGAAAAGGGTGTTGTGGGGGAGGAAGAAGAGGAGCTGAGTGGGCCGGAATACCGCCCATACCTTTTTCGGCACATCAAGTGCCCTTTCTTGGCTTAATGGTGGTCTTCTGTAACCCGAAGCGCCAGGCTGGTCACTGCGACCCGTCGTGCGAAAGTTGGGCCATAGATTCACAGAATTGGCGGGAACGTTCCTGTGTAAACTTTCAGTAGCTTGCTCCGCTTCCATGCCTTTTGGACGATTTGGCAGTGGGGGATGCGATGTATCTTTGGATGGCATCATCGGTAGCTCGTTGAACACCGGGTTATCTAGATTCAAAACGTTATCATGAGAACTAACGCCTTGAAAGGTTTGGCTCTCCTCCTGGCCCATAGGACCAGACGGTGGTTGTTGGTTTGAAGGAAGTCTAGGTGGGCGTTGCATTTCTGAGAAGCCCTCTCTGAAAGGGCGTCGTCCTGAACCTGGAGAATGGTGGGGACGGTCCTCGTAAGGCGGCATACCCAACATCTCTCTGCTACCTTCTTGGAATTGCCTGGGGCGGGAGTACCCATGACTGGAACTCTTTGGAGGCCTTTCGTCGTAGCCTCTTAGGTCAGCATCACGCATATTTCCACCAGGATATTCTTCAGATAGGACTGGCGCCCTTTCCATGCCTCCGAAGTCTGGTGGTTCCGGATGGTAAGGCAAGGACCCATATTCATCTTCCCACTCAGAAGGTCCAAGATTGTGTGGTCCTTTACGTAAGCCTTCAGGACCCCAGTCTTGATACCGATTCGGAACTGAACAACTACTGCGTCTGCTTTCTTGGCACGGCATGTATGACGGTCGTTCTTCATCAAAGCCGCTGGAGTACTCCGGTATGAAAGGCCGCTGACCCATGCCACCGGGTCGTCCTCTTTCTTCGCTGTAACGGTGACCAGGCGGTGGCGGCCCCCAGTCCTGGTCATCATCTGGCCAATGTTGCATGTGGTCAGGTTGGTATTCATGATTCCTTCCGTCGCCAAAACGCCGCGGGTCGTCACGGCCGCGGTAATATTCCCGATCTAGCTCCCCACGATCGCCAAAATCGTTGAAACACTCGCGATCGCCCCCGTGATGTTCTGAATAGCTGTAGGAGTGCCTTCCTCGGTCCGTAGATTCAAAGAAACGATCGCGATCGCCACCGTACCGTGGGGTGCTCTGCGGCCGGCGAGGTGGCTCCGACGGTCGTCGAGGCAGGCCCCGTGGGTCTCCACCGCTTGGCCCGTGGTAGTCGTACGTCTCCGATGGCAGCTCTTCATCTTCTTTCATAAAGCGCCTTCCCCGGTGACCTCTGTCGTCTCTGCCGGCATCCCGCATCAGGACCGTCGCCGTGCATCGGTGGTACGGAAGCTGAAGCAGGGTACCGATCGTCATAATCAGGGGGTCGCCTCCTGTGCTCCTTGGGACCTTCGTCTCTGGTCTCTCTGCGGCGCTGACGATCAAGAAGGCCCCTCGAGTGGTGAGGAGTTGGCTCTAACAGCGATGGTCTGTTGCCCATGGGTTCGTGGAACGGCGGCATATCGGGTGGCGGATGGCGCAGAGGACGTGGTTCGAATGATGGAGGCCTGCCTCGGCTGTCGCGCCTACGGTCACCCATGGTTTATGCAATGCAGGCTCAGCACTGGTGAAGTCACTACGCACAGGCCACGACGCCTCAGCCGCTGCAATGGTAGCTAACGGCCAGATATGTTCTGAAGCATCGAACGGTACTTCGCACTTAATACGCGTACGTGTAGTGGATAAGCAAAAAGAACGCAGTCTCTTTCGAATCAGTTCAGCGCGATTAAGAGACCGTGAACGTAAGCACAGGGTTCGGCACGGTATTGGGCTCGGCACCGGTGTTAGGCGGGGGGTCACGTTTCAGTCAGTGGCAAATGGCACAAGAAGAAGGAAACACTTGCCCTGTCCTGTCAAGCTGCTCGATGAGGGCTTCCGAGTTTTCTGTCCACCAGTTGTCGATGATAATTCCTTGACTGCTTGTCTTTTATTCCTTCATAGGGGGTCGGAGGAGCGTCTTCGTCTTTCTCGTTTGTTTACACTGCCAGCCTGCAAATAATACGGCTTTTAGAACATTCTATATGCGCGAACACAAATTCAAGCAAATTTCTACATTTTGTGCTATTTTAGTGAACCTACTTTTGTTATTTTGACAGAAGCTACAATTAAGTACACAACCAAAACGCATGGCAACCAAAGAAAACAAATAAAAATATTGCGGGCACCTTTCTCGGCTTATCCCACTCAGTGGGTACGAGCCCTATTTGAAAGCATCATCATCATGATCACATGGTATATTTTGGTGGTCACGACATTAAGAGGAACTCCGATGCCTTTTCGACCATATTGAAGTCATGCCGTTTTCAAATAGTATTAGCAGTCTGGCAACAGCTAGGGTAGTTCACTTCGCCGAGACACTGATTAACTTTTATTAAACAATTAACGACGAAGCAGAATCGAAACCGAAACAGGGAGCTGCTCCGTGCTCGGAATCTGATCACTATAGGCTGGATTTACAGGCACTAAAAAACCGGGTTTCAGGCAAAATTATAAATATAGGCACAAAAAACTTTTGACGAAATTCAATATTTCGAAGAAATACGTGTGGAATCTGCGTCTACAACAAAAAAGTAAACAGAAATGCTTTAGCTTTTGGTGGTCATCATCATCAGCCTGACTACGTCCACTGCAGGACAAAGGCCTCTCCCATGTTCCGCCAGTTAACCCGGTCCTGTGCTTGCTGCTGCCAATTTATACCCGCAAATTTCTTAATCTCCTCTGCCCACCTAACCTGCCTCCCCCTAACCCACTTCCCTTCTCTAGGAATCCAGTTAGTTACCCTTAATGACCAGCGGTTATCCTGTCTACGCGCTACATGCCCGGCCCATGTTCATTTCCTCTTCTTTATTTCAACTATGATATCCTTAACCCCCATTTGTCCCCTAATCCACTCTGCTCTCTTCTTGTCTCTTAAGGTTACACCTACCATTTTTCTTTCCATTGCTCGCTGGAAAGAAAAAAGCTTTTGGTGGTACAAAGGCTCTAATGGTTTAGCACAGCCACGCATTTTTTTCCCGCGAGGTGTCGCCGAATACGGTTTCTTTATTTCAAGTCCGACACAGCGAGTTAAGCGTCCCAGTTCAAAAGGAACACGCTCCTGGGTCTCCCTAGCTCTTTTCGGCATAACTGAGAAGGGCAACACAGGAGCAAATACGCAGAGCGCTAACAGGCCAGAAGGGTATTTTTGCCTCGTATTAACTTGGTCTAACCGCACAGGGTCGATTTCTGTTCTGTCCGTGAACACCATAAAGGGCCCTTCAACTACTTTGAGAATTTCGAACATGCACTAGGTGCTCACAATCTGCCAAGATTTGTAATAGCGCCCCGGAAAGAGATGAAATGTCAGACTGAAGGCCGCTTGATTTCATATCACAGGTGCGTGCCCAGCATGGTGGAGGTGACGTATACAATGAACGGTCTTGCATACGTCAAATTAGTGCACTGAGAGAACTATTCGAAACGACGTGTTGAATTTGTACAGTCTGTTGCCCAAATAGAAGTATGAAGGTTGACAGAAATATTAAAACATATAGACGGAATTTATGTGCGTTATTAGAGAGTTGTAGTACTGCGGAATGGTGCTACGTACGCATCACGCAAGCGCTTTGTGTTACGTGGCGTCCTTTGCCACTAATCGGCTTTTAGTACGCCGTAGTACCCGCGTACGTAACGAGCGTGAAGCGTGTTGCGTCATCTGGTAGATCAAAATAGAAGTGCGTGTTGTTCACAGCCAATGTGAGCCAATCCAAGTGTTATAGCCAGATTATGGCCATATTTTAAGCCACAGAGCCGGTCGGTGGTTGCCTTCGATGCCGCCATTTTGCAAAACGAAGTCTCGCGCTGTCGCGAACTTGTTCGAGAGCGGCGCGATCACCTCATACGTGCGCACGCACACATCTCATGCGTGCGTACGTAGCGGCTGCGTACGTAACGCGATACGTGCGCGTTGCGGTCTACGCATGCGCACTACGCAGAACGTGGCGTCCTTACGTACGCAACGCCGCCACGTACGCAGCGTGCGCAATACTAAAACTCTCTATTATTTTAACTTCGTATTAAGCGAGATGCGAGACTATAAGCTGCCTCCATTTCGTTTGCGTTGATATTTCCACCTTTCTCGCATCGTGTTGGTGCCCGCGTTCACAACTGATTGGCGTGTTTTTGGTGCATCGTCCCTTAGAGGAGTTCCAGCGGTGCGATGCTGTGTATCGTGGTAAGGATTACGTGATCCATGCCAGGTCTCTCCAAACGTGCGCGCATAGGTGGACGCCTCCCACAGAAACAGGCAGTACCACACAGAGAACGTCAAAAAGACAGAATGCCGCTTACGTGCGCGGCCTGGCATGGGCATGTCTTGCGGATGTAACCTTACGCGCGCATGACGTAGCTGATTGCGTCCGCGTCGTTTGATCCTCCAGCTCCGAGTCGCCACGATACCGAATTGGGCGGGGAAGGAATTTGGCTTACGAAGTCTACATCGAGTAGGTGGCGAAGCTTTCGAGCTCACCTCCTCGCATCAAGCTTTCGCAGCTTGTAATAATCCGATTTAAAACTTCTGGCGATACAACGCTTTTTTTCATTAAACAAGCAACAACTTCGTGTAAAATTTCTCATGTAACCCAGTGAAGCGCAATCTAAGAAGTAAATAACACAAAAAACAGAAGCACATAGATATCGTTTTTAATCCACACTTTACTATCCCCCTGATGACGCTACACGCTTGCGCTTCCGTTGTTCATCGTCCTGTCGCTGCACAGAACCACCTCCTGCTTCCTAAACAAGCGAGCAGACGCCGGAGAGATGCCGAGCAGACGACGCGACGCGCATGCATGCTTAGAGGCTAATCGACCTTCCCATTGGCTAAGAGTCCTTGTAAGCTTGATAGTGACGAAAGTAACTTGTGAGACGGAGTATAGACAAATTCCACCGCACTTACGTCACGAAAATGTGGTGGCGCTGTCTTGGTAGGCAAAAGACGCTCAGCCTACCGCAGTTTATGCTGGGCTTTCAATGGCGCATGTGATGTTCTCAGTCAAGCAACGACAAAAAAAAAAAAAAAAAAAACGCTATGCCGACGAGCTGCGTTGCGGTTGGATGCGAGTCGCGTTTCACAACTTAGTTTTGTTTGTTGGCGCACATCGCAGCCCTCAGCGCTTATGGCGACAGTTATGCGCGGACTTCGCTATAATTTTACCCATAATGTCGACATCGGCACACCTGTGTTTACAAACATGGAATGGGCTTTTAGGTTGCACCCCACAGTGTTCCAAAAGCTCAATTTTGCCAAATAACATGAATACGGGGCTTAAGCGGTACTTGAAACCAAAATTTGAGCTCAAATAGCGTTTATATAGGCACTGATATTGAAAACAGACATTAATGGGCACTTATAGGAATTTAGGCACCAATGTCCAAAACAGGCACTTATAGGCACTATAAAAACACTATAAAAGCTCTTCTTACCCTCTAAATCACGCTCATACGTCAAAAGGGCACAATAACAACGCAGAAAATTGGCAGATCCCACGTGCAGTGGGAATCGATTATATGCGAAGCACGAATGGGAAATGTTGATATGTCACTTTAAAATCAGCACAACGTTACGAGGTGGATGTGAGTGATGCCGTACACGACTTCCGTGTCATGATTACCATGTTTGAATGTGTCGTTTACGTTCGCCATCTATTCACGTCACGTGATACCAAATTTAGTATATGTGGAGCTAGCGAAAAGGCCGTGAGCACGCTCTGAGCGTGGTATGTTGTCTTGTTCCTACATGGCACGCGTGTCAGAATTATCAGGTTTGCACCAGTCACATATTTCTTCGTCCATTGACGTCACGTAACACCTAATTTGGTATATGTGGAGCTAGGGAAACGGCCGCAAGTGCACCATAAAGGGCCCAATGCACTCCTATGTAGCGTTGACGCACGCGCACGCTGGGTACAGCGACGCTGCCTTAGCAAAACGCTGAGCACTGATAAGGGAGTTTTAGATTAGGCGCACCGCGAGCCCTTGCGGTCGCATGCCACTGCGCATGCGTCGTAACGCGAGTCGGCGTTCACGTTCGCGCACCGCACGCAGAAAATCCGAAATCGCGTGCGGCGATTGCGGCCCGCATGTGGCCAGCAAACGCTGGTTTTGAAACTACGGTGTCGCTGCGATCGTGCTTTGCAATTTGCAGCAGGGGAAAGGGTATTCTAAAACAAAGTCGCCAAAGTTTGCTAAGAAATGCTTCGCATTTAAAACAAAATAACTAGACGCCGCCGCGGCTCGCCAAGGTGTAAATGTAGCTCACGTACTTCTTATGTCGTGCGAAAAGCAAACTGCCGATTACATCCGACGCGGATTCAAGCTGTGCCATGCAGCTAGTCTGAACTTACCAGTGACGATTTCAGTGATGATTACCGATATTGTGCGAGAGCGGAAGCATCGCCGATTGATTGCGACCCACCTGCGCGTGAAGTATTCCTTGTTGATCAATATTATGCGTGCTTACTGTACAACCCGATGTCGACGACGACTGGACACGCTATACAGCTAACAAAGCTGAACTGTAACCGAGTCGTCGTTGTCTCGTTGTCACAAACGAGTGCTGAAGAAAGCGAGCGCCTCCGAATTCTGGCGACGGCGACGACACCAGACGCCAGACAGACGCGGTCGAGCCAGCGTTAAAGAAGAAAACAAGCATCCAAGCACAGCTTGGGTGCTTCCCCTCGAAAAGCACCGCCACCATCAGCAGACCAACCTTCTCGTATCCATCGCCGAGTGACTTCCAAAATCACCGAGAAGGAAAGCTTAAATCGCTCCATTTGGTCACTCCCCAGTTGCGTCACGTGTCGCGGACGGTTCTCGAAACGTCTCGCCCTTTTCCCAGCCCTGGCTGTACAGCGCGCTTACGAAATGATTAGAAACGTCTAAAACCTAGCGCGAAGGTATTTAAGTTAGCAGTGGAGAGTGGTGATCAGGAGAAGAAGGAAGTTTGCGCC